GGAAAATTGCTCAGTGAACAGCTAGGTTGCTTTTAATGCATGGCCCTTAAATGGAAAATGTTTATTTACTTTATGCAAAATTTATGGTGATTTACACTAGTGAAAACAAAAGTAGGTGTAAAGCAACAACCATTCATGCAGTTAATGACCTGAGTACTTCAAGTCGGGTGGAAAAACTTACGGTCGCACCGGCAAGCCTAGTGCGTTTCAGCCTGAGTCTTTGGTTCCACTTCGTTAAAAATGGATTAGCGGCAACTGTCACTCTGTTTTCCTGCATCCTGGTGCGGCTTAACACTTCCTAACTATATATTCTTTTCGAGATTCCGCGTCTCTTTGTGTATATTTGACTGGTTTTTGTATTTCTTTTTTTTTGGTGTCATGTTCTTATAATTTTGTCAGCACTGTTTGCAGACGTTTCTTCAGGAAAAAGTAGACTTGGGCTCACTAATACCACTAGCCGAATATCTAGGTCTTTTTTTTCTCCCCTTCCTCATCTATAAGATTCGCATTTTTCTTTTTTAAGATTCATTTCCAGTGTTAGGTGTTTTGGCTTGGACGGCCATTAAAAAAGACAAATTTATGGTAGTTAACACAAACAAAAACGTAAGTGTGTGCTGCCATTCGAAGTATTTTCACTTCTTTCGAGGGTTTAAAATTTCGAGTGTATTCTCAGTGGCAACATCCGTGGTGAGCGATAGGCCACTGCTTGCCACCGACTCGACAGACTCGTCCACAATACGACTCGTGTCTGTATCGTCCATCTGCAATACCTCACATCTCAATCGTTCTTCATTTCTTAGCTGTAACGGGGAACTCCTACTGGCCGAGGACGCTAGAGTGTGCCAAAGCAAACAGCTCTGTGTTCGATCGTTCACATCCTTGTCAGTTTTGTGCTTCGAAATGGTAAGGCAACAACAAAACCTTGGGCATACTGTAAAATCTATGTATCGAAAAACCGCTTCAGATGCGAAGAAAACAAGTTTCCCCTAGATCTTTTTGTCTTGAAATAATCTCCCTACTAAGCTTTCGTGCTTTTGCACCCGTTTCCGGTGGTGAATTAAAGTGTTAGGTCTTGCTATGCTTTTTTGCAAGTTGCCGAACCTTGTCGATTTCAACTTTAACATCTTTCTCGTTTTCTCGTACATTCGGTGCATCTGCCTTCATGGCTCCTTTCTCATTCCATTCGAATGGATCTGTTCTGCAGTTCATAGTTCTGATTATTATTGCTCAGATATCTCTGCATTGATATCTGTGATTCATATCCAGTGGAGGAAGCATAGGATGATGATTTGAGTTCGAAAAACAAACTAAATCATCGAACTTTTTGAAAAAACCTAACAAGGGTAGTTTAAACAAAGAAAGTATTGCACTTATTCTCCTTTGGCAAATTCGAGAAAGAGCAGGCACAAGTTCTGATCATGTCAATTTCAACTTAATTAATCAAAAAGTAACAAACAGTATACATCTATATTTTATGAAAACTTACGGTTTTATTTTTAATTTGCTGAGTTCCTTGGTGAATTTCGTTCTAAATGTGTCGTAGTTTGGAGTGTCCGAATAGGTAAGGCTCTTCAGATGGTTGTTTATTTGGCTGAAGCAATCTGGACATCCCTAAGAAGTACCAAGCTGATAGATTTCCTGTTATAAAACATAAGTGTGTCTCAGGAGGCACACAGGAAAAAGACAGTTGTTTGAAAAACTAGGAGTACCTCGCAGTCGCGCAATACAGCACCGATTATCTTTGCAGTCGAAGTAAGCATTTGTTCATCAGCCCATTTTTTTTCGGTGCCATCTTATACTTGAAGTTTCGAAACGCTTCAAAAAACATACTGCTAGTAGCACTCGATCACTGACAACTTCTTTCAGATGGCCGCTATCTCTCCTTGTCATGCCTTTCCATGGTAATGTTGAGGACAACAATTCAATTAGCAT